AGCGTTTAGATAATATGATTATGATTTAAAGATGTTGAGTTGTTTTAGAAAGTGTATATCGGGACTGGAAAGATTGCCGATAGAGAAGTGTATTGCCTAAGAATCATTGTATCAGGCATATTATATATATATATATAATATATATATAATATTAAACATATATAGTCGTAGAATAAACTTAAAGAAGGTCTAAATAATTACAATTATTAATACAATAGTTAAATTTCGAACATACGATAAGACATTTATCAGTTATAGACAATTTATATTTAAAATCTTCGATTATCCATGAATTTACAATTTTTAAAAATTGCGCATGTATATAAAGTTAGCTAAGTAAGTATAAAAACCGAAATGTATGTACGATTTTCAAGTATTCTAAAAGTTTTTTTTTGTTGTGGAATATAGAGACAGTAATAAAAATATCAACCTTTACTACGATCTTTTAAAATAATTGAATTGAACTGAAAAAAACTGACAATATTTTGCATTCGTTATTGCATTCGTTCTGAGCTGTATGATTAACTTTTTCCAACTTATGTGTATATTATATTATATATATATATATATATATATATAATATATATTATATATATGTTTAATATATACATGTATGTATAAAACCCTTCTCATAATACATGCTAAAATACTAATTAATTTTATCCTGAATATTTATGAGGTATATCCGTTAACTCGATACTTAGTCTCGTTATCGTTCAATGTTCTATAATATAATACCCATAAACATCGATGACATCAGTAAATTACAAGAATCTCGGGATAGCCTTTAGTTCTTTCATGTCATAATAATTAAATTAAACCTACTAAATATTTTCTATATTATAGTTTTTTATGTACGCATATATGGTAATTAGTTAAACATATATATGAAATTAATTTTTGTACAAATTTATGTTTATAAAAAGTTGCAGCAAAAAAAAAAATAAAAAACTTACAGTATAAACTACGAGTTTCGGTATTATCAATTTTTAAAAAAACCCCGTTGAATTTTTGAAGACTTGCCAAATATGATCGTATGCACTTCCAATAAGATCAATTTTCCACTAAGAATAAAGTTTGTGATAGAAAGTGCTTTTAAGAATCATAAGTCGATAATTTGTGCAAACATCAGGAATTTTTTCCGCAGTGAAATCGTACATTTCCTGGGACGTACCATATTGCGTATAAATGCACTTCCACTTTCAACTCGGATACAGCCACTCCGGCGTATTAATTCTACAATTGGATGGGAAGAGTTACAACAATACACATATCTTCAACAAACATAAAATTAATAATAAATAAAATATAAACTGCAGTTATAGAAAAAAACATGCGAGTTCATAGCTCTATTGTCTTTTCTATAATATTTGCTTAAATTAACCAATTCATGGTGTTTTATGCAAAAGATGTTTCTTTTGCTATATTTGTTTGTTTGTTAGATATTATTAGAATCTATTTCTTTTCAGCACTTGAACGCAAAATATCTGTGAGGGCTAACAGAGAGCATCTCGTCCAAAAAGGGATTCTTCTTCCTGATAGTCCAATATCTCCAATTTCCGAGCCTGGTGAGTTTAACTGTAGTAAATTTTATTCACAATCAGTTTGAATGTTGTGAAATGCGTGCGAAATGCCATTATCGTGTTATTTTTAGATTTTTGTTTTTTTCCTCGAATTTTTTAATAACACAATTATCAAGTATCTTTTCATTTTACAGTCTTGATTAAATGCGCCAACTTTTGATAAAACTTGCCAACACACTTTAGTACATCTTTTTTATAGGAGAGCTTTTCAAAGTCTTTCTATTTTAAAAATTTTAAGTTCATAATTGTCCTAGAAATGTTATTCACGATTGCGGTTACAAAGTTTAAATGAACAAAATTAATTAAAATTAACCCCAATAACCGAAACATGGTCAAAATTCCGCCAAAACCCTAGGACCTATGATCTAGGTTGCACTTAAAAGCTAAAAATTTTCAAACAACGTGAGAGAATGTTTTTTCTAAATATTTTATGGACAGTTAAGGTCAATACTATCACCTCGTTTCGATTTGACGTTAAGGTCTGAGACACCCTGCATGCATGTTTTTGTAACATTGATCATTACCTTAAATTTGCGAAAATTTTAGTTATTATCTCCAATACTGAACTTGATAGTCGGTAATTTTTTACTCCTTTAAAAGAAGAAAGGTTATGGTTACCTTTCCACTATACCACTTTTCAATTTCCTAACTCATTTGGCCAAGATATCATTTAAAATATACGAAAAAGGCCCGTTTCTTCAAATCGATTTTTTTAAGCGTAATTGTAAGAGGTATTGGAAAAAATTGACGTCGGGTGGTGCCGATTTTGAATGTTCATGCGATCATAGCCTTCATTCACATGCGTTAGATTTTAATACTTGATTGTGCCTTTCTAAATTACTAGAAATGATATATTTCCTTTGCAGGCGAACATAATTCTGATCAACATGCAAGCGGCGTGCAGCTACTCGCATCAGTCACCAGTTCGCAATCCGCGCAGCAGTTGTCGCACCAAAGCACGCAACAGTTGCCGCTATCACAATCCGCCCACCAGCTGCAGGTGACGCAGCTGCAACAGCAGCAAGCGCAGCAACTGCACGCACATCTGCAACATCAACATAAACAATTGCACGCGCAACTACAGCAGAATCTGCAGTTTGCAAACGCCACTTCACCCACGAATAGTGGTGAGTGATAATTGTTTATATTTTTTTATTATGTAGTATACCGGCAGAAGGAAGGATAATCTATTTTTTTTGGCGAATCTGTTATATATTTATATTTGTTTTTAAGACATCATATAATAAGAAAACTTTTTTTTAAATGTGGATTTTTATATGATTTCGTTTGATTTAAAAAAAATTTAATTTAACCTTACAATTTTATTTCATCTATTACACTGCGTGACAAAAATCGCAATTTTGTTTTTTTCCTTAAACTTTTTTTTAATCTATGTACTTAGAATCGTGCGATTTCAAATATACCGTCCGTTTTTTCCGTAACTGTTTTTTAGTTTTGGGGAACTACCCCTATTCGTCATTATGGTTATGATTATCGCAGTTTAACAAATAACTATAAGTTTTGCCTGCTGTTTTTGGTGTGGCTCCGACTCGAATATGTTGTGTGCATATTCATATAGTTAATGATACATCTGCGGTGAATATGTTTTAGAAAAATACCTAAAACCTATATCAAACTGTCTTAAGCCAGCGTATTTCAACCACTTTTAAATTGAATTGCGCAATCAAGATAAAACATGAGTTTTTCATACCGCGTGCCAAAATTGCATGGAGTGTTTAACGTCCCAAAGGAAAAAGAAATAGTAAAATTTTAATACCCCCGTGATTTAGAAAAAAAACGACTGTTTCTTCTGTGTGGTAAATATCAATGGAATAAATTTAGGCAATAGAAGCAATACACCATGACCCCAATGGTCTGGGGTCTACTTACGATCACGACTACACGACTCCTACCCATGCTTATGATGATCAACCTAGAACATCAAAATCTTCTGTCTACCATATAATTGAGAGACCAACGATAAAAGAGAAGACATGAAGAGTTAAAAATTGATATATTTGATGATCCCCAAATTAGGCAATTTATAAAAAATCCACGGTTTAATAAAATCGAGAAGTAAATAATTATTTCTGAAAAATTATGTTTACCAAATGGTGTCTTTAATTTGCTATACAGAGAGTTAAGTTATCTATGAAGTTTTTCATATCACGTTGCCATTTCAGGCGGTATCTTTGCAATTTTTGCTCCAGTTGCCTTTTTAAGGCATAGATGGTTTGAGGACTGTCAGTGTGCACTATTTCTTTTAGGATGATCCATAGTAAAAAATCATATGGTCTTAGACCGGCTAAGAGCGCTACGGTGTGAAATAGCGTAATATAGAAATAGACAAATGTTATAACCAATTTTGTTCTGGAATTTTGAATGTTCAAGTATCATTAGCCGAAAACTACTATATAGATTCAATAAGATTACTTCACGCACCGAAGCTCCTCTATTTCAACTCTATTCGATATTTCTGTAAAGAAAACATATAAAGTATTATACATCGTTAGAAAGGTCTCAAAATTCTTAATTCTTTTCCCATATATCGCAACTTTTAATTCCGCACGGTGTGGCGCCTACAGCCAAGTTGCAATTGAAAAATTCAAGAGAAACAGGAAAATTTCGAGAAAATTATTTGAACACACTTAACCATTTATATGTCATTTTATTCGTAATTTTATTCTGCATCTTTCGTACGAACAAAGTTTTTTCGTATTTTTTACGGTTCAGCTTGTAGAGCAATCTGTGTGGTTATTCAAATGCTGAAATGCAAAGTGCGCATAGGTTCTAGCAACAGTTCACACTATTCGATATTTCTGTAAAGAAAACATAAAGTATTATGCATTGTTAGAAAGGTCTCAAAATTCTTGGTTCTTTTCTCATATATAGCAACTTTGAATTCCGCACGGTTGTGGCCTACAGGCAAGTTGCAATTCAAAAAATTTATGGATAACTGGAAAAGCTCGAGAAAATTATATGAACTTAAGAGTTTGCAGGAAATAAATTAAAAATATATTTACACTTTATATAGGTTAATTCAACACTCCTCTACTTCAACTCTACATAAATAGATAATATGCTAGGCATTTAAAAATGCTAAATTCTTTCTCGGGAAAATAAACCGAGTTTACTTTCGGAGCATTCTTTACCTATGGCGAAAATCAATCTAATTATGATCATAAGCTGTTTCACAAGTATATAAAGGTTCTCATAAATTTCGTAAAAAATACCGTCTCGAGTCTCCCGCCCTGGTGTCGGATTATTAGGACGGGCGCGAATTTCGCCGAAGTGCCTTGGCGCCGGCGCGCTGCCTGTCAAGAATGGCGCATGCGTCCGTTGACTTTTCCCGGCTTCTCTCATCTGACACATAGCCTTCGATTGCGACCTGTACAGAACAAGAAAAATCGCCGGGTTTACATGACTATATTGCACGGTGAATCATCGTGATTCCTATGAATTGCTTTTACTCATAAATGTTGTTACAATTTTATGAAAATTAACGCGCTTCTATATGTCAATAATTTGAACGATTGTTGCGAGTGACATTTTTGTGCCGCTGGTTTTATTTGTTCGTGGGTGGGTGTGTGTTTGTGGACTCTAGACGCTGTGACCACATAAATTTTAATTAAAAGTGTGGCTCTTATACTGTAGTATTAGCATGAAATATGTGTTTTCACGTGATTCCCAATGCCGAATCGTTTTTGCAAATTAACTTAAGCGTGTGTGCTCCAATTATTCTCAAAAGACGTACGAAAATATTATTTACTTTTATTTTCAATGCTTATTGTAAATGGTAATTGATATCGATGAACTACAAAACAAACGTTAAAAACAATCTCATGGTTTCATTTAGAATTAATGTTTTAAATGAAGGTAATTAATTTTTTTTTTGAGTTTTGAGTGTAATTGAATATCGTTATTTGCAACAAATTTCCAGAAGCATGCTTATTAACTTTTTCATTTGGTTATAACGCATAATACTTCGAACTCAACTTTGCTCTGCTTTATGATTTGTTTTGACAAATTTCATTCGTAGATTTGATAACCACATAAATGATACCACCTTCTCAATTGCAAATTATAATTTAGTAGATGTACGTGTTAAATTAAAATATATAAAGTGTATATATATTTTTAATTTATTTCCTGCAAACTCATAATGAATTATTATAAATGTTATAATCTAGGCTGTTGCACCTTTAATCTAATAAATACTTGAACATAAAAATCGATTTCAATATGTAAAATATGAAAATCCATATTGATTTATAAAACAATTAACATTTAAATTTCTAATGAACTTAGTATTTGATAAACGAAACATTGTTGTTTTTTATTTATTTTGTTTGCTTATTTGTCACACCTGTTTAATATTTTCTTAAAAGATGTTTTGGGAGTTTTTGACTTGTTAAGTATAAACGAGTGTACAGGCAAAAAAAACATGATTTTTTCAATGGATTTACCCCGCAGATGGAATTTTCTAGTTAAACAGGTTTTTTCTGGGCGCTAGATAACTTTTCTAATGAATAACATAATTGCGATATCTGAGTCACCATGTCGCATCATTTGTGTTATAAAGATGTGAGTCAAGTATTTTATAAGTATTTTCAAAGAATGTACCATGATAATAAATACCAAGGATTGTTTTGACATACGTGATAAATTGGAAAATATTTGCATCCAACTCTTCGGATTTAAAAATACAGTGAAAATTCTTATTCTGGTCAACTATAGAAAAGCTATGAAATTTCATTTAATAATAATTCTATACCAAATCAGGAAAGCACACACAAAAAAATGAAAAGTAACTCTAATGAAGTCAGAACATAACAAATACAAATTGAAAAAATAATGATAAAATGAAATTGATTTAAAAAAAAACAAAATCTCATCCAGATAAATTTCCTAACTATAAGTACAAAGCAATGTAATTGAAAGAAAAAAGCATTTGGTTAATAATATTTGGAATAAAGTTGAAGAACTGCGATTATTAACACAGAAATTCAAATACATTTTGTAAAAGTATTCTGTAAAGTGATCGAAATTATGTTTCGACAAACATGGCTCTAAATTTATTTAAATTGTTAATATTTCAAATATGTTGATTCACCTTTAAATCTATCGATATCTTTCTCCAATTTAACATGAATTATATCCTTTGCAAATCACTTTGTAAACTGAAACAATAATTCGACCAAATGAGAGATTTTTATTTAAAAATGTAAAAAAGGTCAGCATTTTATCAGGGTTAAACTAAAGGAAATCCCTCATCTGAAATTAACTATATGAAAAACTGGTAAAAACTATCTATATATTGTAAAGGAAAGAACTTTAATTATTTAGAAAGGCGAAGATACCGAATCAATATTTTGAAATATATACACATATACTATAATTATAAGATTTGTTATTATTTTATTATTACCTAAATGTAACGGATAGTAATGAACACAAAGAACTAAATGGATTAAATATATTTTTTTATTCTCATAAATCTTATCGGTCACGAGAAAACCGTTAAGCTCTCGTCGTTCTTTATTCGTTTGAAATTTTGATGAAAATTTGTATTGAGTTGAAACTACCCATTTTGAATGTTGGTGTGAATAACATCAGTTTTTTTATATTAGTTTGGAAAGAACATAATTAATGCACTCATAATTCTGTTTTTATTATCATATTAATAATCTTGTATCGCACAAAAATAAAAAAAAAATAAGGTGTAATACGTTAGGTAGAAATAAAATTGCGTTAAGAATACATTTTCTAATGAGTAAATTACATATCACCTGTTTTCGTTTGAATGCTATACGTTAAAAATCGTTATTTTCAATTGTATATTTGCACAAGCTCTAAAGTTTAAGCTATGCTCTGAGAAATAATATAGTGTGTAAAAATACTATATTTAAATTTTTTAAGTGCATTTTGACATTTGACAATTCTATTAGGGATCCTATCAAACATGAAGACGAACTAATATAAAAGAACTTTTCACTGATACCATTCCAACATTTTTATAAATGCTTCAAGTAAAAGCGAAAGCATTAGCTGATAATCTACACAATATTTAATTGATCTTGTTTCACATATTTTTATAAATTTCTTTCAGAATGACGTTAGAATTGAAACTAATTACCTAAAAATAAGTTTTAGATTGGTATCGGCAATATTAATTCTTCGACATTTATTTGAAGTTCAACTATTGGCCAGCCAAGGTTTATACAAAAACCGATATTTCAGAAAACTGGTTTTCGAATAGTATTTTTTTTCAGATAGGCTGTACTGAAATAATTTATTATTAATAATTTTTTAATGCAATTTTGTAAAACATAAAAAATTGATCAGGATTAACTCTAAATATAATTAATTATTTGTCGCTTAAGCATAATTTTATGATAGTGATACGCAGGACTGCTATCGATTTCCTATAGTGTTTTCATCAATCTGGTACATTTGGCTACATTTGTCATTTTCAATTTTCTTTACAATTCTTATTCATCAGTTGAAAACCGGTATTTTCTACTAATAAACCGGTTTTCGAATCCTACCATTTTCTCCTAAGCTCGGTTCCAGAAAATATAACTCGACATTGCAATGCAACATAATCCTTTCTTTTATGTTATTCTGGACTTTTTTCCAAAATCTAGATACGTTTTTACCAATCAAAGCAATTACGAAAGTCGTAATTTTGTTCTTGTATTTTTATCACTAACATTAAAACAGTTCTTTTTTGTCGCCCGAAGATGCATAGTTCAAAAAAAGAACATGACGCATTTGAAAATGACGTTGCCTTTGTTTTGCCGACGTGTAATGAATGTATAAGTTAATTAGTAATAATATTGACTAATCATAGTTCAAATTTTGATTGTTTAACAAGAGCTTACATAGAATTGTTGCTGTATTCTTATTAATTTTTTAATTGATGTACGTACAACACGAAATATTTCGAAAGATTACTGGCATTATATACCTATATCCTAGGGTTTAGGAATTGTTAAGGTTGTGCGTTGTGATAATTTTCCGACGCGATGCATTTTTTTGAAAATTATTTTGAGTTTCGATTTGCAATGAACAATGTCAATATTTATTAGCGGAAATTCATGTTTTTAAACGGAAGTCATGTTTTAAAACATATCAAAGCGTTTTAAGACGATGTGCTATTTATTTCTGCTAAATTAAATTTTTACTCTGCGATTTTGTTTCGCTATATAACTAACGAATTTAAATTCAAGATTTTGAATTATTTTAATAAATTGTAGTATAATATCTATAAACCTTCTATAAATTGATATGATAATAATTTATATCTATAATGTGATATTCAGCTATAGCAATAAAGAAAAAACTCGATAATTGATCACTTCTTATGAATGAATAATAATGAATATCATACTTCAAATATATTAGAGTTATAAAGTATAAAAAGCTTTAAACTGTCACTCGTCCACTTGAACAATGTTATTATTGAATTATTAAAAAAAAATGGGTCATAAAGTATAATAGATAAATATTGGCATAAATTATATAGTTCCTATGTTGATTTGAAATTACATCAATTTTATTGTATTACGAAGGATTAATTATTTATAATTGAAAATTTAAATAACAAATACCATGTTCTAATATTTAGAAAAAACTAACACAATGATCATATAGCAAATAATCAAAATAATAATAATCGAATCGTAAACTATAAAACCATATACAGTCCAGATAGCCAATGCGTATTGATGTTATAATACATTTTTAGAAAATTCGTGTATATTAATGTACAATATAGAATAACTTTGTGTATATGCACTATATATTGCTAATAATAAGCTTTCGGAGAAGCGTCGATTAATTCAGAACTATCAAAATTGATATGACCTGCATATTACATCATGCCATTTATCTTCCTATGTTCACAATTAATTTTATAGCGGAATAAATTTGACCTAATTATTTAGTTTGCATTTCACAATTGATTCTTTATTGCTTGAAGTGAATATCTTATTGGATCAATCCGAGACAACATATGTGTTCATTCAAATTTTAATTACATCATTTTGTACGTCTCCTTAATAAATATGCGCTTTTAGATGTCGAATTATGTGAGATTCGAAGTATTTTGTCTTTATGTAATGTACGAAGTTTTTGTTGCTTTCTGCGTTTGATTTATGTTGTTAATCATTTTTAAGGGTGGTGTGTTTTGTAAATATTTGTATAATATGATGGACAGTAAACGAAATACAAAATTATAGTGAATAGTGCACATTTTGGAAAGTAACTTTTTTGTTATTAAATTTGCATGGTGTTCAACAAAGTGAATGTTAAAATTTACTACCTATGATGGGCTACATAATGGGCTGTGCTTGTTTTAAAGGTAGGTGAATCAGCGAATTTATGATACGAAAAAAATAGTATATTGCTGATTTTTGTCTCATTCATTGTTGAGTATCTATAAAATGTATGCATCTGGTTGTTAGTATAATAATAAGTAAAAATAAAGAAAATGTCTCTAAACTATACAACACGATGTACTAAGGTAACATTGTCGTTGTAAAAAATACTGGAATAGTGCTTACATTATTGTTGTTGAATATGTGGAGTTTTATTTTTAAATAATTAGATTTTTTTAAAAAAATAAAAATATCTTTATTTAAAATTGATTATTCATTTAGTAAGTGTTCAATTACTGATATAATGCTGAGTACAAGTAAAAGGGATTCTGAAAAAATTAATACCAAAATTTAAAAAACATTAATTTTTTAAACTTTGAAAAAATTAGATTTTTGTAAAAAAATAAATTTCTTAAAACCCCTGAAACGTAAAGATATATAAACATTTTCATTTTCGATTTTTTTGCGATTACTATAACTTACCCTACGGAAAGT